CCTTCCGAATGGACCGATACTAGCATAGTCATAGCATAAGACAAGTGAAATCATGGACAACCCTTTCATTGTGGATGACAAAACCAAAGATGGATGAGTGATACAAGTTGATGAACTTAGCCGCGCATCAGAAGCTGTTGTTGTTAGACCTTTAAAATGTTGTCTAACCGTAGGATTATCGCCACTGCTATCTTTTATGGTTAGCTGCAGTTCAGCCTTAACATCTGTCAATAGGTGGGCTACACACCAATCATTTGCACTAACGGTCTCACGCGTATTCATACCTTCTGCAACCACATCTGCCTTTAATTCTACTTCACATTCACAATAAACAGCACGCTTGTTCAGCTCAGTAGTAGTAGGCATTCCCCTCATCTCATTGTGATCAACCAAAGACGAGTGTGCACTATCATGACCATTGTCACAAATATCCGCTTTATCTCCGTTTGTATGATCGACTTCATCATTTTCAACCTCTTTAATAACAACAATAGGTGATTTGGATTCTTCCTCATAAATGCTTAAAGGTTTTGTACCATTATTCTAACTAGTAATACCTTGTAAACTTGTGGAGTCAGAACCGGACTCTGAAACCATAACCCCCTTCTTCTGAACAAACTGTGATGTCGTCTGTGACACTATTCAACAATGGCTTACTGGTAGCAGCTACAGGCTTCTCCACCGCACCATTATCGTCACACAATTCGGAGTCAGACCTTGATTTCACACTTAGCTTATCACTAAACTTGGTCACTGCTTCACAGTTCATCTTTGTATGCACTTCTTGCAAACGTGTAAAACACAACCGTGTTTGTCTCGCAACTTGTGACCTATCTCTTAGGGACGTCCCACTAAAGCTGTTACACTCACTAAGTTTATATGGATTACTAGACACCAGTGAGCTTTCTCGATATCCACTTCTCCGAGACCCCTTAGTCGTATATGACTTCGTTTTGCTCTCTGACTTCTCTGCTCGAGGTGGGATGCAATATACTGGAAAACTTGCTCATAGATTGATTCACACTATCTTTTACCAGTTTCAGAATATCATCGAACCTTGGATCAATACCCTCATCCTCTATACGGGAGCTTATCTTCACCCACTTCCTTTGCAGTCGAGTAGGTAGGCGTCTCGCTATTACCTCTAGGACGGAACTTGAGTTCAGATCGCCCATGCAATTCATCAAAACCAACTTATTCTTTAAGGTCATCAGATCATGGAGAACCTCGGAGAGTGCCTTGGGGTCATCTTGTAATTGACTACCATTACCTTTAGCAGCCTCGAATACATTCCTTACAATCATCGAAGGTTTTCCAAACCTTTGACGCAGGGTACGCATCGCCTCAGTATATCCTTCGTTTGGAGGCATGAACTTATAGCACTATACATCTCTTGAAGCAACTCCAGTGCAGTACCTCAACAAATACATTAACTTGATTTCATCAAGTAATAAAAAACTACTCAACATGATTTCAAAATCCTTTGCAAACTGTAATTGGTCAGCTGGGTTTCCGTCGAAACACCGAGGTTCAAATTTAGGCCTATTATCCCTAAACTGCGAAACATGAACAACAGGCTCATCACGCTGAGCATCATACATATCATTACAATTAACAAGCAACTCAGTATTACTTACTTCCTGCATGCCCCCAAGACGCTTTGTCCCTTCTTTGACCGAGGCATCACTGAACTAGATAAAAAATCCAGAAAAGTTCCATATAACGCTTGACCAAAGAAGATGGGCAGATACCAGGCAAGATGGACAGAAACTATCAGAAACTGTTAATGTCTAGGTCTTACTGCACTGGACCTCACGCTGTCACTGGAAGACTTTCAGAAACAATTTGTAATAACCAACGCGAAAAACCAGAACACAGATTGGCGACTCGAGAATCCCTTATTCTTACGCCAATATGTAACCAACAATGAGGTTATTACATAGAAGGTCTAAGAATAAACGTTATAACAATAAATCCCGATAATACTTCTGATAGCTTTTTATCTTCCCCTGAACAGCGAACGATGAGACGAGACTGCTGGCTTGATGACTCCCGCGAAAAATATGGAGGAGTTGGGTTTGAGCAAGCAACCGTGAATTGATCGTTCAATTTTTAACTACATTGACAGAGGTTGGTTTCTAAATTAGTGAGCCCGATGCGATAATGATGGGGTAGACATCGCTTGAGAATGGAGTCTATATATACATAAGGAAACCGTCTTAGAGCTTTTCAGAACTTGGTGTGAGGCAACTGACCGTGCTTGACTACAACAGTGCTTATAACCAGTACTGGCCGAAGTCATGAAAATATTGCATCTGCTGTTCACATTAAATCTCAGTCAGTCTAAAGCTGCTAGAGATTGGAATGGTTCCTTTAATAGCTGTATTTTCAAAACCAGGCAAGAATCACCTTCCCGTTATTCTAACGAGTATATTTGCTAAACTACTTTGAGAAGCGTCTCTGATGCAGTGAAGTTGATTAGCACTTTTTGTGGCTTTATGACAGGTTATCCTCACATTTGTATTCACAGAAAGTTGAGTCCTTAATCTGGGAGATGCTATGTTGTCAAATTCAGCAAAGATTTCGAAGAATTCTAGGTCAGACCTTTTGCCATTGTTTCTATTCCGAATCCCTATAACCACACCAGGACACTGGATACAGTACTTTCCTAAAAACAGATGGCAGGGAATAAAAATGAGTGGCGTCGTAATAATGATAATTTAAATTTCGCATGAACCGGTGAGTTTACATGAAACTCATGCCATTTTTCCCGGCAGGGTAAGAAATGGTATAAATTACAGTCGTGAAATATCAATAAATTAACACTTTTCCAAAAGCTTGAATAGTTGAATTATGGCACAGGCAGTCACAACATGCCCCGATAAATGTCAAATTGTAAACCCTTCACTAAGGCTGCTATCAAGGTTGAGCTGTCCTCCATTCTTCATTTCGTGATAGTAATTGTCAGCCAATGAACAGCCTATATATATGTAAATGCTACGCCCACATGTGATTAAAAGCTATTTCAGGAACAGAAGAACGCCCTGATGAACTGCAAAATAGTCTAGAATACAATTAGGGATAATATATCATTGAAAGTTCATTTACAAGATATTCACAGAAACGACCTGTAGATGCCTTGGGATGACAATATATATTTGCAATATATAGTGTTAAACATATTGGTCTTGCCATGAAAAACGTGACATTTTTGATGGAAATATAGCTCTTCTCAAACATTATGGTTCTGTGTGTTATGCCATAAACGCCAGTAAAACCTAAATGGGGAGAAGAATACGGATGAAATGAGTAAGTTTTAGCTTCCTGAATGTTTAGGGAGTAAATGTATAGTATAGTATGACTACTTAAATAAAGAATCATTGTGAATCATACGAGTGGTAGTTTGGTGGAAAGTGTCTTCGAATATCTGACAGATTAGAAACTGTGGGACATACTGAGCTGCAAGATGTGTCACATATTTGTGTAGTTGCCATGGGGTAGCATCTTGACAGGGAGCTGAATAGACTTGCAGATGTTGGGAGCTTTGGGAGTTTAAAAAATTTGGATCTGAACAATCACTATTTGTTATATTAAGAATGTAAACCCATGTTTCATTCTCAGGCTCTCAAAAATGCATATTGCCGTCACACAGATTGGAGCAATTCACATTTATTGTTACTACCTTATCCGCTTGTCCACATGCGCCAACCTTGCCATCACGGAAACTGTTGAAGTATGATGTGCCCCCACACAACAGCTATCTTCTCCCACTTTGTGTTGGCCAGTAACTGCTGTTAGGTTATCCCGTTTGACCATGTTAGGCTTTGTGTAATGGTAATAAACGATTCATTGTGCAAGAATATTTGGTTAGTTAAATGTTGAAAGTAACGGTGTTTAGCAGTTGGTCCTAGCGTGGAGGTCGCCTGGTAAATAGCCTTAAGAGGGTCAAAAGTTGGTCGTAATCTGTAACTTAAAAAACTCAGTGGGCTGTACAGCAGCCACCATGAAGTCCTTTAGAATAATGCAGGCTGTCTACATTTTCGTGAATAGTACAAGTCTAATCTGACTATTCTCCTCCCAGGGTTCATGGAAGCTACTGCAGGAGGATCTACGCAGAATCTCACTGAACATCGGACACTGTCATGTCAGTATAGAGAAGCAAGCCAGAAGCAGTCATTTTGGTTGAAAAAGCAGCTGCTGGATATGGTTTTAAATGTTTTAGTTGCTTGTCTGCGAGGGTGACAGCTTAGGATGAATTCATGGTAGTTGTTCTCAGTACCTTAAGTCACTTCAAGAATGGTCCAAGTTAAAATAACCCATTTTTCTTCATCTGGTATATGTGATTTTGTGTAATTAAATGTGGTGTGAATTTTTCATTGAAGTCTTTAAAGGGACATATATGTGACATTTTGTCTGAGAAACATGCTAGGAACAAATTCCATTAAGACTTTTTCACTCAGTGTCTTCCTAAGTATCCTTTAGATGCGAGGATCTTTTACGAGCCATGAAGGTTTTAATCGTTTGCTTACTTTGATGTAGGCCAACAAAGAGGCTTTGATTCTTTTTTTGCAGGATGAGGATTACCATTACTGTCTTTTTTGTATAGGGCATTTAAAATATTTTAAGAAAATTACTGCATTTCATCACTACATGTCGTTACTTCAGTAAACGGGTTTTCCAAGTGTTTTAAACAGTAAACCCTTCGTATTTCTATAGTTAAAACAGACAATGCTGAAATTATCCGACACTGTGGTGATTGTCTTATGATTATTTAATTTCCTAAATGTAATTTCGGTGTGGCCACAGTAACCATTATGATGTGGTAAACGGGTTTTAGTTTCTTAACATGTCTTCTGAAATGAAACATGATTTTCTCAGCCTTTTGCACCTCTTTAATTGTTTATACCCAAAGAACTTGGCTTATTGAACCCATGAGTTATTGAAAACCCTAAGTTGTTTGTATGGTCTAAATTGCACTATCTGTTGTCAGTGTAACTAAGATGTCAAATGACCACAGACGAAAAGGCTATTACGACGAATTATTCAAAAATACTTTTGCTGATCAGAATGAGTCAGCTGGGAGCGATTCTGATGATAATAATGAAGGTGCTGTGGGGAATGTTAGTAAATCTTCAGTGGTCCGTCCCGGATACTCCGGAAAATTACGGAAAGGACAATTAATATTTGACGCTTGTTTTGAAAGTGGTAAGTTACCAGTCCCCACTCTTCATAGTTACAAGGAAATCTGGGAAGAGTTGCGTATGTTAGCGACTATGAATATGATCTTTTTATTCGTCCTGACACATGTAATACACGATTCAGAGTGTGGTTCAATTTTACTGTTGAAAACACCAAATATCAGCAGGTAATAAAACATAATACATAGCTATTCCCAGAGGGTGATTTTCAATGTTGTTAATTTTAGCAAGACGAAGTCGCTTTATCGGGAAGGTATGTCTCCTTTAGTCAAGTCATCCAGCCGTCCATCCTGGTAAGTTCATTCAATTGAATCTGTAAATAGATTCATGTATATATCAGGTCACGTATCCCACAGAAGTGTGTATTCTACTATCGGTGCCCTGAACACAAGAAAAAATATGTAATGTCATTTGCATTTTCCTTCGATTGTGAAGAAGATGTATATCAGTTCGCGTATTGCTATCCATACACTTATAGCAGATTGCAAACATATTTAGGCATAATAGAAAATAAAAACTATGCACATTTCAGAAGAGAACTTTTGGGATTAACAATAGTGGGTACACGTTTTTGAAGAGATTATGTGTAATGACAGAGCGGTTTTCCAAATTAATTTTTGATGTCATGACATTTTATTACGAAATTTGAATATAGGTTCCCATACAATATACATACAACCCTAACCTAGACATCATGTGGCAAGTCTCATTCCTTCCCGTCGTTTTCCTCGTGTATAACCTCGGGCTCAGTAGGATATATATTACTTTCAACTTTTCAAGAGATATTAAGTTTTAAAACCCAAATTTGGAAATGAAGTTATGTACCGACTTCTGACTCGGCGATGGGAAGCGAAATGGTCGAATATGTTGACTTATTCATTTACTCCAGCAGATTGTTAACCCACAGTGGACTCCTTGCTCACAAAATCTCAGCGGTTTTACAAAATGCTTCTTGTCATCTTTGACGAATAAATGTTATCCAGTTACTGACACAATGGTGTATTTACTGTACTACTTTATGGGTGGAAAGTGTGGCTAAAGGCAAACAGCATGAAAAGATCATGGGTTTTCGGCCGCAAGCTCATTTAGTGGACATTTACCTTCAACTGCAGCAGATGCTGAGCACTGATGAGTTTAAATTTACAGTTTTAGGTAAACATGGGATGTCAACTAATGAAGTTGTAAAGCTATATCAGTGAAGATATGTGCCACATATGATAGACCATCACCCCTTCAGGTAATTTGGGATGGAGATAAGGATTGTCGGACCAGAACTTAGCAATAACTCCTGGAAGGTCATGTAGGGTGGAAATGTCTAGCTGATGTCTAGTTAGAAATGTGGGAAGTTTAGGAAATATTTGTGATATAGTTTGAAATCACTCACACAGGCAAATACATATTCATTTTGCGTCGTCTTTCAGATACTGAGAATGAATAACACAGTACTGTAGTAAGTATAGTGAGGGCCATCCTCGAACAACTTTGGAATCAAAGTGTAATATTCAGTTTATTTGCTTAACTAGAGGACTGATATATGTGTCTTACTCCAAGGCTATTCAAATGGTACTCGACTTAATGACAGCTCCAAATTATTTGTATTGCTGCTGTAAGACCTTCGTTTAACGTTCTAATTTTTTCTCTCGAAAATGTATTCAAGTTCCATCCTTATTGGAGACAATTTCATCACGAATAACTCTTCGGAAGTTATCCTTAATAAGTCAAAACGATTGACAGATATTTGTTAACACTGGTGTCCGTTTTATTTTTATCTACTTCACCAGTCATTGTTTTTTGCGCATGCTTTTACTCATGTGCAATGCCACCCGACATGATGCTCGTTTAATCAATAGAGGAAGTCACTGGTTCGCAAAAGTCTATTTTGGTAGGGGGCCGAACTTCTAACTAAGTTGTCAGCCTAGAAATTAGCATCAAAGGACATAAATTCAAATCGTCACATTCATATAGCACATATAGCACGTGGTGGCAGCAAAAAATGAGCGCTCAGAAGAGCTACTATAAACGAAAGTGTGCGGAGAGAATAATAAAGATTTGAACTGTCTTGCAGGTCACAAAGAGCGGATGCATCTGCACCATTAAGAAAGATTTTGAGCTATATCACCAACAATTTCAGGTTGTTTCTTAGCGCCTCTAGGACTTCAGTCAGGCAATGTGCTCTTCCTCCGTCGCTCAAGCCAACAAACGCTTCATGAATTAATGCTAGGTTCTGGTTAAACCCCTTCTGGCTGTTTTACAACTAAATCCTATGTTGGCTAACACTACTTGAAGAGGGAGGGAATAGTGAGGCATGCGTAGCAGTCTTCAATCTGTTTTAACTTATGCAACTTACACTTTCATCGATCGACATGCCCACCTTGTCTAACACTCTAAGTCTAATTTCACATTATTCACCATTCTGTACCACTTATAACTAGACTGAAGGTGATTTTTCATTTTACTCATTGAATTCTGTTGCTTTAGCTACTTTTTCATTTTTAAATACAGTAATTGACGTTTTGGCACATATTGAGTATATAACACAAAGGTCAGTCAATCATCCCCAAGCTTCAACTTGTTAAGAAAAGGAAGGCGATTTTCGGCATATACCTAAGTGACTTGAAGATTGCTTTGAAATTTAGGGTATTCGAAATCACTTATGCAATCTAGCAATAATAATCACATGAAAATCAATTTAAAAGCCATGAGAAATTTAGTAACTAGCTGGCAGCTAAAATAGTAGGAAGTAGTTCAACAATGAGAATATGGAACTGTAAGGTGGAGAGGGAAGTGTAATACAGGGTATAAATGTAATATTGTGGTTGTAGAGTTTAAAAAAGAACTTTTAATAGCTTTGTCCACTGCAAATCCATTGACTGAACAAATCTTTGTATTCATAGTTTAAGCTACAAAATCTGAATCATATTACCTCCAGTTTGAAAGAGATTCATGAAATTTCCACATGTTTTGTAGAAGGCTTTGAAAGTAATTTATGAGTCATTTTGGTAGCTAGAATCGCTTAGATGTCCTCAGACAAAGATTCAAGAAGATTTTTTTTGCCACTATGAAACTAGGATGGTATGTGTTTGATTACAATCTCTTGCTGCACGGGAACAGATGAACTGATGGATACACAGTGATTAGCCAACTGGTGATGTTTCCTTTGTGTGTAATCGTATCATAGTTTATGTGGAGAAAGTGAATCATAGTTTAGATGTATAAAAGGTTTTTTTCTTTGCTCAAGATAAGAAATTTCCTGGTGTTTCCAGTTAACTGTAAGTTTCGGGACGGGGTTTTCTGAATAGGGTTCATCATTTTTATGATGGATCGTTCAGTATATTTGTTCTCCATCAGTTAAACAGAATGCAGAATTACCTTCACTTGATGATATTTCATCAGAGAACTTTCAAAGTCATGGAATTTATGTTGGGATATCTGAAGCCTAAATAAGGTTTGTTGAAGTTAACCACGATATTCTTCTTCTTGGTATATAGGTAAGATTGTGGACCTCCCAACCCATTTGTCAATGAATTTCAAGTATTTAAAAAGAGTTGTACATCAGCTGAAATGTCAACAGCTACAAAGCACAAAGACACTAAAGCTATTTAGGTTTATTCTGAAAGAACAATATACTAGAAGTAACCGCAGATCTGACAGTAGGAAGATTACAAAAGTAATCATAAACTTAAAAAGTACAGTAGATTTGGTAGGCGTCAGTTGAAATGATTTCGATAACTTATAGGAGAAATATATAGACTCATCATCATCTTGCCTTAAATCCGCTGAAGTTGTAGTACTTTAGAAATGAGTAGGATTTTATTTTGCTCAGAATGAGATATTTCGGAACTAAATTAGCGTTTGTCATCTGCTCTTATCGCCTTTAAGTTTCTGAACTAAATTATGCTAAGTCACATGTTGTTTCTCAAAATCCCAATAAGAAAACTAGCCTGATCTGACGATTATGGAGTTCCATTCTTGCTATTATTGATGACATCATATAGTAGCTGAAGATTAAGAGTATGTACTTCGAACCATCAATTGATTCCTCATTCTCATTTAAAGTCCAATAAATGGTGCTTGCCATTTTTTGCTGACTGGTATTTCAGGATTAGCGGCATCTAATAGGGTTCGCTCATTGTTTCATTTATCTTCAGAGGCCGTTTCTCACAACCGTAACCATCACTCTCAACCTATAAGCTATTACATAAGGATTCCAATAAGACTGAAACTGAAAATGCCACTTGAACTTTGTATATGCATGTTGAAATAGTACAGTAAACATTCGTTTTTCTAAAATTATTGATTGCGAGATATTTTGAGCATAACAATTGTTCACAGAAATAGTGGCACACTATGCATATTATCACTTACTATTAAAGAAACTGTTAATAACCTAATGTATAATTTGTCTTTATTTTAAAAGCAACAAAGACGTCTAGATCTTATAACAATTACTCATCCCAGTAATTTCAACGCAACAAACAACAGCAAGAAGCGTATAATATTTGTAACCGCTCGTGTACATCCCGGGGAAACGCCGTCATCTTATGTTTGTCAGGGTAGGTAGATACTTCTTTTCATCAGACACTGATTAACTGCTGCTAAAAAACACAACAAAACTTCAGCATTTTCTTCATTATGTTTTGAGTGTTGTTTATCATACATTGATCACTCATTCTAGATGTTTTTTCTGGGCAAACAGAATAATTTATCAGAGCTCTGATCCTTTTGTTGTTGGTATTTTTGCGTAATTGGTCTTATTTCAGTGAAGTGATTGTAAAGTATACTGATTTCCCTCTTCGAGAATACTGTTGTCTCATAATATTTCACACAGTGAAAATTCATCAACGACTTTTGTGTACTTCCTGAAGAGTCGAAATGATATTTCTAAAGCTTTATCGATGATAGCGTTTTACTAACAAATATTAATTATGGTTTAAGAACATTTATGGATGTTTGAAAAGTACGGCTGACGTTGTGTTTGGAGGTGAATTCTTGTTTGTGCATTATGAAGATTATGTTATATGTTTGTATATAGAAATATTTTTAACGAGTAATGAAGGGATGAGCAAGATATTCATAATGTTGACACTTAGTATTTGAAGTTGTGAAAGACAGTTATCGAATTTGACCACGGATTGATATCGGTTAGAGAACTTTTGAAAATCAGGTAGTACTGGACAGCTGTTTCATCCTAGTTTGGGAATCACTGGCAGTACACACCCACGGGGGTTCAAATCCGGGACCAAACTAGGATGAAACAGCTGTCCAGTACTCCCTGGTTTTCAGTGGTCCTCTGACTGATATCAATCCGTGGTCGAATTCGAAAAACAAATTTTAAAAAATCAACCCTTGAAAGTACAATTATGATAAATTGTGATGCCTTTTGTATATTCTTTTGTATTCGGCTTGTACATTTGCACTTACGACGCAGTTGTTGTTATTATTCCATCTGTCCTCGATTACGTTTTGATTTCTTTATTGTTAACTGAAATAACCGGTTGTTGATATGATTCCGAAGAATAAATTGGGATGCAAGTAACCACTATGCATATTAGATTTGTTTCACATTCTAATTGGATGAATTCGTTTCTATGTGAACAAACAATGGATTCCTAGAAATATATATTAATAATAAATCCAGCTGTTTAATTACCAGTTATTATACTGTAAGATACTAGCCTATTCTAATTAGGTTCTGATGAACATGTTTTAACCTTCACACGATAGGCGGTTTTGACAAACTAAGTTTTTTATATAGTGTTTGTAACGAAATAATTCGGTCGTATAATGATAAAAAAATTTTATTTTTCCTATTTTACGAAATAAAAATATGCAGGATTTATAGATTTTATGGTTAGTAATCATCCAGTTGCTAAACAGCTACGTGAACATTTGGTATTTAAAATTGTTCCTATGTTAAACCCAGATGGTGTTTATTTGGGCAACTATAGGCAAGTTTTTCGTATTTCAGTGTACACATTTTTAAAAATAACATAGTTGTTTCTAGAATAGGGTTTTTAAAAACAAAGGATAACGTCCTACAAGAAAATGAAACTTTTTCGATAGAAAAATAAGGACCAGATTTGCAGTAATTTCAGGTAGTTTGCACCTGATGAAAACCTGTGAAATATAATGATATAATTTTATACTGCAAATCTGGTCTTTCTTTCTCTATCGAAATTTATTAAAGGAACCAAATGTATAAAATTTTTGAAACTTTTTCATTTATGTTCTCAGTAAGAGAACATGATTTTTTTATTTCACAATAATTATATATTAATTGAGAAAATATTATATGTTAGCGCATTATACTCCGGATAAAAATGAAATTAAGCCATGCTCAACTATACAGAAAAAGTTGACTCGAATCTTCCAATTACACACTGAAGGGAGGTAAATTCAGTTTTTAAAGCGCTACTTTTATATTCAATAGAGAATAATGTATGTTCCATTGTTGTTTGACAAGAATATTTTTTTAACCTTCATAGGGTATAATAAAAGTGGACACAAACTAAATGTCATCAGGGTTATCTAACCCTAAGTACGTTAATGTCGCAACTTGATAAAGAATTCATGAGTTTGATTTCTTATAACATGAGCTAACGCACTGCTTACCTTATACTAACTTTAATACTCACCAATCCATGAATCAGTGGCGACTTTGGTCACATCACTAAAAAGACAGAGGTAACAGCTCGTGACACGCAAATGAATTCTGTATCATTCTTAAAAAGCCCAGATGTATCTGCATAGTGCCGCATTTAGATGCTTCACTTATCTTATGTCTATTGGCAGCAAGTAACCGGTGTTTAGTAATAATCTAACAGGCGTAATTCAAGCTTTTGAAGGTAGCGATTGCTTCAAACAATTATATATTAACACAGTAACCCATTTTAATGTCCTGATTTCATTTTATTCATTCGTTCTTTGAATCTAATTTGCTTAACATGAGAAGTAGCAGACTAATATTGATAGAGAATTCATAAATGCACTATAGTTTCCGTCATTATTTCTAAAAGCTGTTCAATAGTATTCCAACGTAATTATTATTATTACTTAGATACATAATAAAAAATGCACAAGCATGTTCATAATTTCAGCTACAACATATTTCCTTGTGTCTTCAGTACTTCTGATAACGTGTGAGCTTTTATTACTGCTTCAGTTTCCTTGATGTCTATGGGTCATCATTGGGAGGGTAGAAAGACAAATACTGTATATTAAAACAGCCTTAACTACCAGTAGTGTTTGTATGCAATTTAGAAGGATAATGGTTTCACTAAGGAAAAATTTTTAATCAAATTCTTTATTATGGTATCTGTCGAATATTTGAAACCAAGTCCCAAGGTATAGTGTTCAGCATAATTTGGGAAAGTTTCATATGCAAATGTATTACAGTGCAATACTTCTAATTACTACAAAAATATGACAGACAAACTGCACTCGCACGTAACTTTTAAACCAATCAGTTATGCTTCGTGATGCAGTAATGTTGGTATAAAATCACTTAAAAGATATTTCTGAACTAATTTCTAGAGTGTTTATCATAGAGTAATTTGATACAAAGGAGTACACTGTTACCATAACAGTCAGTCAATGAGAATTAAACTGAGGTGTTGGGCACCTTAATCGTTCACAAGTTCCATGGAATCATTTAGCTCTGTCATAAAGGGAAGATGTAAACTTGTATTTACTTCTAAGGCGTTGCTTATTGTACACATAAAGCCGATATTCTTCCATGCAACCTAAAAATGAAATGAAATTTGCTTCCTTTATGAGCAATACTGAATACGCATTTGTGTGTTGTTTGAATAAATGCATAACACATCCAGAAATACCAAACGTATTCTGAAAAAGCTACGTGTATGCCAATAGATATAAAATAGTAGTTAGACGTATTAATCTCTCTTCAGTTAAGTCGTGGATATTAATGAAATCTTTATACAAGCCGCTGTATTCAAACCCAAATAAATGACCCATAAGTAACCTGAGATTTCAATTTAGCACTGTTGAGATTTATTATCAAATCGGTTCAATAAATATAAATATAGCTAAAATAAAGATGAAGAATTCCTGGTTCTATGGGGAGAACTAGATGTACAGTCGCTAGCGAAGATCAATAAAAGCTAATGACATGGTTAAATTATTCTGTAAAGAATACAGTAGAGATGAGACCCTGTCCTGTTACCAGATGAGTTGTGCAAACGACTCAAATCTACACATAATTGTGTCGTTTTCCTTTATTTACTGTATACATTTCATAAATAACTGGCAGCATCATACCTGTTAGTAAGTCTTAAACCTGATTTCTGTGGCTATACACTCTTCTCGTTTCTAGATCTTCTCTAATGGGTTTCGATCTAAATCGTCAATGGCAGTCTCCATCTTTATGGGCGCATCCTACTATTTATGCAACGAAACAACTGTTAATGAACTTGGATAACGATGCAGTAGGTGTACATATTTTTTGAAAAACCATCCAAACACTTGGTTGATATATATATATATATATATATATATATATATATATAATTATTCGCTCCTTAGTTCCTGATTGGTACCAGCACACCTTCTTTGTGTTCTTTTTTTCTGTCGTCATTTTCATCTGGTTGTGCGACTGCCCCTCAAATACCATCTCGTTCATTTCACTCTTGGACGTCCAGTTCGTCGCCTCCTATTCGGGTTCTTCTTGAGGGCCTGGAATGTGACATCATTCAACGGCCTCGTCAAGATACGCTCAATTCATCTCCATTTCTTTCTGCATGTTTGTTAGACTACAGATTCTTGGTTTGTTTGTTGCCTACCAGGCTTCCTTGTTACTTATCCTTTCTTATCTGCAGTACAGCTTTGGAAGTGCTTTTGGTGGAGCGCTTGCTACATCTGTTAAGCATATCGAAGCTCTGGCTAACTTGACATCAGTCACTGTGCTGAGTACTCCTAATCTGCTTGCTGATTTCATAGTAATAAACGACTGTCTTGCCTTCCACATCCTATCTTGGTGGGCTTTCAAATACCAACCTGTACAGCCTGTAGGTGAAGCGATGCTACCTGTCCACCTGAGTGAAGGAGATGACTTACTGTAGATTTCTTCCGTCAATAGTTATTAATGCTTTTTATTGCTGGTTGAGTATATTCATTACTTCTGTCTCCCATGTAATCACTTGACTTGCTGTCTTCGCTGTCTCTTTTACCAGCTTGTTGGTTTTTGTATATGCAGTCTGATCCACTCATGAATGTTTTTTCTCAATTTAGCGTGTTCCGGGTGTAGTTTTCAACAGAGCGTATCTTCTCTGCAGGATGATGGTACTGCACCAGTTCTAACCTAGTCTCAAGTCACCCTTCTCTGGTAGTTTCACAAGGTAGCCTTTCTTCCCTTCCACACCCTCCGCAGTAGTAGGTGAGCATATCAGCTGAGGTCTATGGGTCCATTGTTAGTGATTTTGTGGGAATGCCATCTAGTTCCACTGCTTCTTCGCCTCTTAGTAACTCTATAACCTTCAAGAAATAAGTTTTCGTCGGACAGTTGATGTTCACTGGTAGTTATGTATCTTCCAGTGGTGGCATTTCTGGACTGGTTGTAGATGGTGGTCGATTCAAGAGTTCTTTGAAGTAATAAACCTGATGTTTCTTTTGCTTCTTCTCTTTGATAATTGGTTTTCCTTAACTATATCTCACTAGCTTCATCTGCGTTGATCTCCTCGTGGACCTAATTATTTGGTGTGCTCGTGATTGTTGCATGAGTGACCGGATTAGGTTACTGACTCCTCACTTAATAAAATGGAGAGTCCGCTTCCATCTAATTTGCTCTTATTGATCCCTAATGCTTCCATACCTTATTTACTCATTTCTTATACAGTCTAGGTAGACTCAGACATGGTACGGACATTCCGTGTCCTTTCGTCAGAAGTAGACTTATTGGCCGATAGGCATCCTGAAGGCTTTCACTAGCAGTCGTCTTTTCAACTCCTCATTGCTACAGGAACTTCAAAGCACAGGAAAATATGTACGTAAGAAGGATACTATGAATTTTCCATGGTGGTTTTCATGATTCTGTTGTAAAATAAGCTTACCATTAAGAAGTAAGGGATCAGTCTATCTCACGTGATGCTACTCTGCCGTCAAATTTAGATCCAATCGTATAATCCAGCTCCATAGTTCAACACAAATAAGTTCCAAAAAGCAATGGCAAGTATTATCGTGTAGCTAAGGTTCAACTCTACAATATTTTAGTCAATGCCACCAGAAAACTGGATACCAGAATTCTAGTGAATTTCCAGTGTTTGATATTTATTTAGTGCTGGCTAACCGTAGGTGTTCAGGATTAGTTCGACCCAAAAGTATCACTAAGTCATGGTTCTCGAGAATCTAGAACACATAGCTGATGGGATTTTGATAATGTTTCAGAACCACTGAATATAGTATGTTTGCATCAATGCCTAGTGGTTGTTTAAATCTCCAAGTTCTTATGACTATAAGAAATTACTGTACTTGCACTGCATTTTTTCAGTTGCATAGCATAATCATGATGAGCAATGCCATTATATTTCCTGCTTTGTATTCGCTTTTTCAGAATTCTCTTTCCGTTGCTTATGTGGAATATAAGCCTACAAGCCATTTTTTGGTTATCTCTGTCGTGTTAAATTCACTAGTGACTGATTTTTTAAACTAGGAATTCATCACTTGATTAAACAATGGACACTAACATATTCTATATTAATAATTTTTTTCCTTATTTTTTCACGCAGTCTGCAGATGTCAATTTCTTCATAGATATACATGCACATTCTACACTTATGAATGGGTTTATGTATGGAAATATATACGAAGATGAGAAGCGAGCTGAAAGGCAGGCTACATTTCCCAGTTTGTTAAGTCAATTCGCTGAAGATTTTAGCCTACCACAGACCAATTTTAATAAAGATAGTTTGAAAGCTGGAACAGGTCGACGGTAACTATAATATTTTTGGTATTACTCAGCCTTTTTTCATGTTACTAGAAATTAATGATTCAGGACTATTGAAGTTTTTTAGGCGAAGGTTGTGATAGGTTTTGGACCTCTTTTCGGAGATTTCAAGATTCACGCAAAGCTTCTGTCTTGGGAAGACTGAAGTGTCATGTCTCTGAATTTCTGGTTAAATGTTCATGTCAATGAATCTTGGTAGGTATCCACTTTGGGTGAAAATTTCTCTGGAAAGGTGTAGCAGACTATATGAAAAAAGTTACGAGCATACTCTTAAAAACCAATGAATTTCCACAGCCGCCTAACGAAATAAAAAAGCAGAGCAGACTAAAATATAGCCGATGGTTGTTCTGAAAAGAATCAAAGCCAATCAGGTATTTATGAACGCATTTGATCAACGGGCTCATGTGTTTCAAGGCTTAACCATTTGTCAGAAATACGCAAAGCTGGTCTCCCACTTCGTCCAATTTAGAACATGTCCGAATCCTCCTGGTATTCAGTTGCAGAATGGTTGGGTGACACCCTATAAACTATAAGGAAACAAATGTACGTCAAGCCGCTTGGCGATATTTTTCAACCCGTCGGAAGCATACAGGATATGAACGTCTCTAACGAAAGTATGTTGTCTCTCGAAATCAAATTACTCATGATCAGTATTCCGGTGACAGACTGTCTGTTTTATACACGGGCAATCAGATGACAATCAGCTGAACATGGGGGTAGCAACTACATATCTGAAGGAAATGCTACTGAGGTGTACCTTTAGAGTACATTTCTCACTCAATGAAATTATTTGAAGACGAAGGCATTGAATTGCAATAGGATTTCCCTCTTGTCCATTACTAGCAGACTTTTTTATGGTAAGCCTGGAGAATGAGTGATTAAAGTCAACTTTACACAAGATAAATGAACGACATTTTTATTGTCTCCTTTAGCAGTTGTTACAAATATTTAATAACTGCCATCCAGCAATAAAATTCTCTTAAGAAATAGAAAACGAGTACAAAATTTCTTTTTTTGGTAAGGAACTGACAAAAAGGGCGGACGGAACCTTTAAATGGTCTTTCAATAGGAAATCTACGTGAAGCGGCCAACTGAAGAGTTTCTACAGTTGTGTGTTGATTGAAGAAAGATGAAATTTATACCTCTTGCGACTCTTATCCTACACTAGAAGAAGAATTAAGTCTCCTTCGAGAAATCACCTAAAATAGATATCCATTTATTGACAAGAACACCAAACCGAAAATTCAGACACACGACATTTCATTCGCGAAGAACTTTTAGACAGGGAACGCATGGAAACCTCTAGGCTGATATCTGTAATGGATGTCCCCAAGCCATTGAAGATGGTGTCCCAAGGCGAAAACGCTTATTGAAAGACGATCTCAGTCGTCAATACCTGATTCAATAATTTTGAACTTGTCCAATCACGTACATAATGATAACATTGAATACAAGCAGTTCTACGGGGACAACGATTATCAAACATACTGAGTTTCATCACATCCTCAGCTCTGGGGGGGCGAGGAGCAAGGGACAGGTTTCTTAGGAGTAGAGCAAGACTACAAGCACCAAAGATTTGTATATACAATGTTTAAGGACAAGACTAATATTGCGGCGGTGCTGCGGGCGACTTAGGTTCGGTGTGTAAGTCATGCTACCTGGTCCTATACGTTTAAGGATATCCACGACACCCCCTAGCACTCACACAACTACCCATATACATGGATTTTAAAGGTTCACCTGTGAGGTTGATTGCAGGTACAGGTTCCTGTAAATCTTACAACATTACAATTAAATGGAACAAAACACATACCATACTTGCAGTTACTGACTACCCACTGATTAAGTAAGGTTTGGGTACCCTGCATATTATAGTCCAGTAAAGCGATATCGTCTTCATACTGAGGGTGGAAAAGTCCTTCTTCGATAAGTACATCCACACCACTCAAGTCTTTTGGAGCTAATTGCAGAATGTCATCGATAGTAAAGTTAAGTGGAAACAGTGAGGTTTGGTAAGCCTGTCTAATCCCAGTGTTGGTTGAAAACAGCAGTAAAAGATGCCTGTATCCCTCTACTTTGCCCAAAGCTCTTTCTAAAAAGTTTTCAGGACATTATTTATCTTCTCAGGGACACTTCTGTCTGACAGACAATTCCAAAGAACAATCCTCTTCAGCTAATCGAAGCCAGCAGTAATACATGAAATACAGTTATTGTTGATCTGTGATATATGTGGTGGTGCTATAGCCACTGATGAAAGATGTATACATGGTCAATATACCCACGATCTAGACAAAACTCAGTCTGCTCATCGCGCATCGAGTTTTCACATTTTTTATATACGGCAGTTAATATTTTAGACGCAACTGGTAACATATTAATACTCCTATTATTATCACATGCACTATTGAGGCTTTTCTTAAAGATGAGTACGATGATAGGTTCATTCCACATTGATGGAACATTCTGATTTTCCCATACTTTCCTAAACAATCCAATCAGTTCCTCGACTACAGTCTCACCAGCACCTTTAAAAAGAAATGTTAAATGTGCATTTAAACAAATGTAATTTATGTCGCAGTGTAACAACAGAAGACAAGGGCCAGGCAACAGATCGTTTATTAAAGAAATCAACACATATTTACAGATTTTCATGTACATTATTATAGATTATTGTAAGCTAACAAACAGTCTTCTGATTGGTGGTGGTTGTTTCTTGAATGTCAGACCATCTATATGCAAATTGCATCCGCTACAAATATTGGGGACGTAGACATTGACGTAAATTACTGCCTACCAATTTGGCTAGCAACCAGCTGTCACCACAATAGTATTCGTTCTGTCACAACAAGTGTGGTTTATAGCTTAATTCAAGGAGCAGCACGGAAATTACTTTTATGCCACTCCACGCCATATATCATGAACAGCATGCTGTTATCCTTATCACGAATAATAATGTACTGATGATTCATTTCTTTGTTGTTTAGCACATTGGGTGGTATTTTGGATGATAGCACCCTTTGTTACACGTTGGAAGTATCATTTTACAGTTATACGAATATGTTAACTGGTGAAATGATCCCATATACTGAAGAAAAATGTATCCTTTTCTTGTACAGGTCGTTAATTATTGTTGAATGAACGTTTGTTTTGTTTTTTCTCTTCTTTGAATGACGCTTAACACATGTAAGTCAAGAAGTTATTTAATTCTCCTATCGAAATCTACAACATGTCCTCAGGTATCTTGAGACTCTTGGCAAAGTAGTCATTGTGATTGAAATTAATTTCTAACGTTATGCAAAATAAGTTCACTTATCCATGGAAACTTTTTCACTGTGGTAGACGTCTTCGTCGATGCAATTAGCTTTAATTTATTGTTTCAAATCTTTGACACAATTTTAAAAAATATCTTAGCAGGTGATTTCACTCTAGTGGCTTTACGAGTCTGTAACAAGCTGATATCCATCAGATTATGTTTGACAAAAAGCAAACCTTTATCATGAACATAACTAAATTTCTATTACATTATATGTCGATTTTATTTGGAACTGTTATTTCTTATGCCTGGTCGCTGCTGGTTAAGCAGAACTTTTTCCTTAACAAGGAACTATTCACTTAAGATGCTCGACTGGGCAGAAATCTAGCCAGAACATTCTATGAATATTACCTCAATGAAGGTCTTCTACGAAAGGGACAACATAAGACTGAACAAGTTTGCTCATCCAAAAGTCTTGCGACTGCAATAAGTACTAATTATGATTCTCCTAGCCCCAGGGAACATGTTGCACATTCAGAAGACAGTTACTGCCAACAATACCAAAACAACAATCAAAACGGCAATACAACCAGCAAAGAACATACTACTCAACGTACATCACATAAAAGTAGTTTAAAAGATAGACTAAAATATGATTATGACCAGTTGAAACGTTTAAATCAAACATTAAATTCACTCAGTTGCCGTACGATATCAAATTCTTTCTTGAAAAACACACGTCCAATAAGAGGGAGATGGGATGAAAATAGTTAAGGAAGTTGGGTAGGTTTCTGCGTTGACATTTTGTTTTCTAATGTGTAATCTCGTTGTGAAAAGTTGTCTTCACACTAAGGCAGTAAAGGGTGAACAGTTTCACGTTAGATTACAAACCATTAAAAACCAGGTAGTAGTGAACACGCCCTTTTCCTTAGCTTGGTATTCCTCAGCAGTATGCACCAATGACTCCACTGGAGTTTGAACCCAGGAACTTCAGCGGAGTCACGGGTGGGTACTTCTGATGAGTCCCAAACCAAGATGGAAAAACTGTTCACTACTTCCTGGTTTTCACTGGTTCTGTGGCTTAAAACAAGCAACAAACGCTAATAAAGGAGTACTTAATGGATTCATCAAATTTCTCCATCTAATTATTCCACATACACTGATATATATATATATATATATATATATATATATACCATTAGAAATACATTGGGAGATTGTGCGTCGGTAGCACAGTGGTTAGGATTCTCGCTGACCATGCACATGGTCCGAGGTTCGATCCCCTGCCGACGCACACCTGATATCTATGGTCGGTCTACAAAATTTGGGCTACCGATATCCACGCTGAAAATTCCATACTTGTACCAAAAATACGGTGTGGAATCAAGATGCAATCAAAAATAAAAAATAAAAATAAATACATGACCGATAAGTAAATGCACTACATTGAATCGGGAATACAAAACGAGAGGTACGAGTGTTTTGTTAGTCCACAATGTAAGTGTAGAATTTGGGCACTGTGGTGGAATGTAATTTCATACTGGATAGGTGCCATATCGAAATGATATGATTATGAGCAATAATTTATGCTCGAAACGTCATCCAGTTGTTAATACTGCATCACTGTGTGATATTTAAAATAAACTTATCCAATATTGAATTTTATTAGTCATCTGGTTCGTAATCTGACTTTAAACCAGTTGAAATACCGCAAACCAACACTTGAAGAGTAAAGGATTAACGTATTTATGTCAGTTTATCGGGGATCATTCTGTTTTACAGCTAATAATGTTTTTATCTGCCCATGGTCGGTGTATATTAGCATTTCCGTAGCACCAAATAGTTATCCTCAGTAGGTGAAATACATTGTCACGGAAATACGATGTTCACTTTTCCCATATTAATTCAAGTATTCCACATTTATTCAAAAAATAATTAGTCTTACATAATCAAGCTATGAGTCTAACTAAAACGCACCCCGTTGCTTATAGGTAAGTGCAGTTGCTTAAAAAACACTTTCCTAGATCCCTAGTAGATGGAAAAATCATCATCCTGTATGTAAGATATCACAACTTTGTACACTTGGATATGATAAGTACTTCATGTTGGTTAATATAAAAGAATTTTATTGTTAACTGTGAAAAAGTAAATCGGGGCAAAGAATAAAAACAATAAGTGAGTTGTCCAAATCCTTCCATCTCACAAAGGAGTGTTTAAAAATGAAGGAAATCTGAAAGTGTGAAGGTTATATATAGAAGAGTATTTACAGGCCAATTATGTTGTTCTTTATTATTAAAATACTAAGTTATCAAAACAGTATACAAATCTTTGGAGGTTGTGCGCTCAGTTCTTTCCAGTGAAATAAAATACTATGTAACATGGAATCCCGTATACGTTATGTGTTACTTTGTATTTACCTGCTATTCATGGATCCCTTATCTGTGGATTTGTAGACACTGATTATGGTTCTAAACGTTGAAGATGGAAATTTCCGAAACTTTTAGAATTAAAAACTATCCACCTAGTTTTTCTCCAACTGTTTGCTTCTCCAGGGAAATATTTTAAGGATTCAGTTAGTCAGACTGCCGACAGAAACTTACTTGTATGTATTTGCGTTGACTTATCCCTGGCGAAATAAAAATAGCATTTCTCGAATAATACACAATACCCTTTGGAAAAATAAACCACATTTTTATCATTGTCTCAGTTAAAATACCTCTTAAGCTAGTTACAGTTTTTATTCTGCCATGATGATAATATTTCCTAGTTTCAAGTCAGCATTAAAACTCATGCATTATTCTAAAGGCGCAAAATCTTTTCAGAGTTTGATAGTATAAGGAAGCAAGGAAAGTTTTTCTATTTTGGTCGTCTGTTAAGAATTATTCTATCTTGTTAGCAATATCTCAAATTTTCCTGTCCATATATGTTGTCTCATAGTCTAATACCGTACAAAAAACATGTATATACCGTCTTAGCAATTTTCATCTCTACTATAGTTAGTGATTAACCAACTGTATTCAGTTTTATGAGGAGGCATCCTGTGTAGCTACGGTACGTCTTATTACAGTACGTTGTGATAGCCTTTTAAATCACAACTGATAAGTCAGACACGTAAATCTGGTCGAAAGACTGTGTTATATTTTTGACCATATTACTTAGGCTAAGACGAGCAGTTCAATGCAGAAATGTGCATATGTTAGCTGTACTCATTTTCTTCAAAAAACAACTTTTACTTCTCCAGAGAAATTTCCACTGCAGTGTTAAAAAAAAGTGTCTCTAAATTGCAAAGATTTGATATGATTGGCTTATCAGCAGGATTGAATCTCAATACGTTGGCTTATATCGATGGTGTGATACAAAACAAGCATATCTAATACCATAATCTACTGAATCACTGAAAAGCGAATTCAATGGGTTTTTTTTAAAATTCGATTTTGCGAACTAAATTTTTTCTAACAGTATTTCGATTTTCATTCTGATTTCATCAACGTAAATTTGGCATTTTGATTTTATTTATTTACTCTACAGGTTAAGTAATGCACTGTACATATTTCTAGATTCTAAAACGTTAGAATGCAAAATGATCTATCAAGCAATACAGCAACCATCTACTCTATGTATCCCAGGTTGTTCGACTTTTATAATCAGATGTGCTGAGCATGGTTGTGAAATGCTGAGTCAGTAAATCTTGTAATATAGAACACATATCTAAATATACATCGAATGTATATGCACTCGTGATGTAATTAATTTATATTGTCTTAAAGGAAATAAATGTTAAAGTGTGACTTAAAATGACAACTTCTTTTTGCGCATCTACCGAGCTGTTGAGCAATAATTATAATCCAACTTGGATTCGTGTACCTTTCGTCGAGCAGCACCTAAAAAGACTACGCGGTTTCATAACACTGACGTCGATAGAGTGATAGTTGAATATGTAACCTAACAGTTGTAAGTGCTGTGCTTCAGTGTTAAGGTGGGTTTACAAATATTTTGTTTTGTTTAGAGCATTCTTCAGTTAAGCATAATATTTAGTCTGAGTCAGATCATCAGATAAAGCATGGATGATCAACATTTAAATTTTAAATCATGATTATTCATTGACAAATAGCTATCATACAATATATCTGGATTTTCCGGATGATTTATGCCTGATGTTGCACAAACTTGAAGATCTACAAACGAAAAAAACAAGTTGTTAGAAGGGGAACTTCAGATGAACATAGAGAAGATAGAGGTGATGGAGATATCCAGTCATCGACAATGAGCACTAATCACTATCAGCAGGAGAAGTCTAAAGGAGGTAGTCTTTTTCACTTGCCTGAGTAGTATCGTTTATTCTGCCGGCAGGTAGCACAAGTGATAGTTTCATTGCCAGTCATGATCGAATTCGAAAAGCAAGGCTGGTGTTCAGAACCCTGAATTAAATGTGGAGGTCAACACCATATAGTACTAGGCACAAGATCCCAACTTTCAACACTAATGGCATGTCTATGCTTCCATGTGGTTCAGAGACTTTACATTTCCAACAGCCAGATGCTAACTTTTATCAGCAGTTACCTACTCTAGCTCGATATTAGAGGCCAGATGGCTCACCAAGAAGGGAAATAAACAAGTAACTCCGGCAGTCGGTGAACTAACATTGGCCGATTTCATAATAGAAGGGGATATATGGAGTATACTCTGAGGAGGCATTCAGGCGTCACCATACGCTAGGGCCTCATATGGAGTCCGACCGCAAAGTGACCAGTAGGGCTCTCGAGGGTGACATGCAGATCGTGTGAGGAGGAATGAAACCTAGTGGGTACTCGTGGATCCATCTAAAAAAATACTGCATACAACAGAGTAAAGTAGCTATATGGTTCCACCACGAACTCAAGAGAATAATATTGATAGTAACAAAATTGGGTGAGAAACGCAACATCTACTGATGTTTAAACAAGTCATGCACCTACATTTTCTGAAGTTGGTTCATAAAAGTATAAAACTCAAATAGAGTGCTCATTTCATTAGTACTTTTAACTGTTATACTTCAAGAGCGCATTCATCGTTGTGTTGTCAGATTTTCTTAATCTATTCAGGTTACTGCGGACATCAAGCGTTATAAATAATTACATCCCTGACAATATTACTCATTCCGTTTGGCTGATTTTCTGATGAGCGAATTTGTCTGACAGTTTGTTTTTTAAACACACTTGTTTAATTTCATGTATTTGTGAAATGTCTAAGTAAATTGTTTTAGAATCGCAGAAACCATGTCAGCCTTAAGTATTTTATTTTTTTGATTACAGCTTGATTCCACACTGTATTTTTGGTACAAGTATGGATCTTTCAGCATGGATATCGGTAGCCCAAAGTTTGCAGGCCGACCATTGTTATCAGGTGTGCGTCGGCAGAGGATCGAACCCTGGACCATGTTCATGGTCGGCGAGAGTTCTTACCGCTGTGCCACCGACGCACATAAGTATGAATATGACTTGCATTGTAAGTTAAACGTTGGATATTAGAACCTCTTCCACAATACACTCAATATACAGTTCATCAATCTTTAAAACAAGCCCTCGTAAGCGTAGTTAAATAAAGTTTGAATCAGTATAACAATGACCAGACTACTCATTATGTGATTTTGGGGATTCATCATCTATTGGTTCAAACCACGTTGGTAAATGGGAACTTGAGTTGAATACTTCAAACATGTAACTGTAAAAAAGCTTTCAGAAATCCTACTAAGTACTGAACATGCATCAGTTCTTTATATTTTTAAAAACAGTCAACACCATACAACTCTTCATTTGGTTCATGGATTTCTTATAGTTAATACGTCTCTACTGTATCATTTTCATGTTACTGAACTTCAGCCTTGTTCAACTTCATAAGGTTGAGTGATTTCACCTGAAGCAACTTCGTTAACTTTTAACCTCGAAATGTGTCTTTGTCTGTTGCTGAAACATCTTTCAGTAGCCATCAGATATGTGTTGGTTGTTGCTCATTTCACTTCATAAGAAAGGAAACAAATTTCCCCGTGGTGAACATAGGGAATTTGCCTGATTAGCACCATATGTAAGATTCTAAAGCCAATACCTATAGAGAGGTTAAGCGTAACTCGAGAAAGCTAGACAGAATCCAGGCTGAGTAAAGGGTGCATTGGTAAAATCTCACAATTTGACAGATTCTGAAACAAAGACTTAGCAGAGTCTGCGACCTAGTGTACCTTGTGAAATGAGTACAAAATACCAGTGTGTCAACCACGAGTGCTAGGAAGGTAATCTATACCGATGGGGGTAAAATGCTGGAACTCATGAAGCCATCTGAAATTTTATGGAGAGTTTTTGTCTAGACTGGCAGCCATAAAGTCTCCTTAGGAATGCCATTGCCAATTACTGTGTTCTGATTTATCGATGTCAGAGGTTACTGATTACGTTAGAAGGTAAGCAATAATTAAATTAGGTGGCAAAAGTTATTAAATCTATCTTGCGAAGTAGCTTTTAACACATTTTAGGTATGCCTGATCAGCACATACCTTTATAAGCAATTTTACCTGAATTCGGATTAAGTTGGAAGAAAGTTGGGGGTGGTATAGTATACTATCATTTCATGAAGTCGGTAACTAGTGATCTGTGTGTTTTGTCTTTGGACAGAGTCATCAGGATGCCGAGAATAAAACGCTGATGAATCCTGATAAAATGGCTTTGAATCGAAGTCACCATCAAAATTAGGGAGTTCTTAGCTACCCTTCATTAAATTGGCCTTTGTCATTGATATAGTTCTACTTCAGCTATATGTTGCATTGTACTGTACACTATTAATTTAAATCATTTCGCTACAAAGTGTCAGAAATTTCAATCAAATTTTTATTCAAATGATGATTGAGGAACCACGCTTGTATGTCAGTATGCAAACCTTGTTTAATCTTCTCAGTAGTAAGAAACGTAAAAGAGGAGAATGTTGCAACCTTTTTCTTTTTCACATAATAATTCCCCTTGATGAAAGTGAATAAAGAATAAAGTAATTGGGATTACTGGAGAATCGTCAACAAATTGATTTCGAATCGTGGAAAACACCCATAAAGACATTAGAAAGAAGAGAACACGAAGTTCAGCAAAGATATCTTTTCGACGATTTCATTTTCAAAATTGGATTTCTTTGATAAATCAGACTTTTCATAATTATGGCTTTCTATACTTCATCTAATTTGAACATTGCCCAAATATTGAACATAGGAAACACCAGGACTTCTAGAGAATTTTTAGAAGGCTTCCTGGTATTCCAGTGAGTCGTCAATCATCAGACACATTGACATAGACAAAATTTACCAATCGATAAGAAAGAAATTTCATACACAAATGGTTAAACTTCAGGTCAAGGAAACAATCATTACCAATACAAATAGCTTAGAGGGTATGAAAACACACAAAACAACCAATCACGTCCAAGGTTACCAGGAGGGATGACTAATAAACTCTTGGAGAAATCTAAAAGCTCACTTCATATTGAAGTATGCACTGAAGATGTTGCCTAGTAGGGTGGTGAAAGCTTCGCAACTGAACCATCCAGCTTGGACAACGCATCTACATCAAAATCATCCACCTGAGTTACAAATCTTCTGCATCATGTCCTTTCAATGTTTAAAATAATCGAACAGGAAATATGAGTAACTGGATAATTAATTAGTTTGCATTATTTGTTGAAACTGATAGATCAGAGTCCACCGTTTTCTGTATTTGGTTTAATCAAGTCTCTACAACTTGTCAAATCCAACCTTTTCCGATGTGTAAACGTTAGCATATTGTAAGTGGTCAGCAAGGATTGATCATCACTACTGGGGAGAACATTTCACTGCCGACGTATGTGAGAAAAAATAAAAAGCTTGAAGTGAAAGACAGTAAGGTTCATTCATATACGGTAGTTTTTTTCAGTTAGTGATGTCATTAAACAAAAACTGATGTGAAAATGAGGGAAATATAAAAAGGCTAATTTATTCTAGAACCCTCATCCTAGTGTGTATAAGATACTTTAAAGAATGAAACCGATGATAAATCGAAAGTGGTTCTGTTTAAACCAAATAAAAGGTTGGCACTACATATCAACTAAATTATCTTAGCAGACGAACAAATACGAAATTCACAGCACTTCATTCACCTATCTCCGTTAACGGTCAACTGGAGATATGCAGCAATGTCGTCACTACCCTTCAAGCTACTCATGAGTAGTAAAGTTCTTGTAAAGCAAATATGCAAATAGAATACCTGGACATTGTTTCATCAGATTATCTGAACAACTATGAGAAACTTAGGAATTAATTCTGTTTAAGATTAGGGAACCCCTCTTTATTTATTCGTATATACACCCCGGTTTTCATGGTGTTTTTGATATTGGCCTTTAAAAAACTGTGATTTCACAAACGAAATTGGTGTCGATGTCATCAGCAAAATGTTATATTATCTTAGTATATCTTAGAAAATGCTCATACTAATACATTGAATCAAAGGCTGCTGACTATTGCAGGTAGCAGAACGATTAAGATTATCCGCGAGTAGGAGTATACATTTTTCTACATGTAAGAATGAGTGTATCAGTATATAAAGCTATAAGGAACAAGTTTTAAACTACCAGACAGTACAAATCTTTTCGTAACAGGTTTCAGTCATTTACAAAACTCCCCCTGAAATCCTTATTTCAGACAAT